TGCAAACACACTGCTGCCTATTTGTCAACCATGCCTCTATCCAGGAAAAAATTTCTCCTCCTATTCCATGAGCCTTAATTTTCCTCAATAGTCTCTGATGTGGGACCCTGTCAAAAGCCTTACTGAAGTCCATGTACACAATATCATATTCATTACCATGATCTACCTCCTCAAATACCTTAGTGAAAAAAGTTAACAAATTCGTAAGGCAGGAACGCCCCTTTGTAAAACCATGCTGAGATTCGTTGATGAATTTATGCTTTTCAAGGTGGCTACGAACTGCCTCGGCAATTATTGATTCCATAAATTTTCCCCACTATGGAGGTTAGGCTTATTGGTCTATAGTTTGAAGCTAAGGACCTGTCACTGCTTTGAAAATAGGTATCACATTTGCCATTTTCCACTTATCTGGCACCATGCCAGTTTGTAGTGATATGTTGAAAAGATTAGCCAAAGGTTTGCTAAGCTCCTCTTTACATTCCTTCAGAACCCTTGCATACAGTTCATCAGGGCCTGGGATTTGTTAGGTTTTAATTTGTCTATTTGCCTATGGACCATGTCACTTGTGACCCTAATCGTGCACAGTTTATTATCGTCCTGTTTCAATAATTTATCATTTCTGAATATCGCTGGTATCCTCCTGTGTAAAAACTGAGAGGAAGTATGTGTTAAAACTTCTACACATTTCCTTATCACTGTCAGTGAGCTGACCGAGGAACTTTTGAGTGGGCCTATCTTGTCCCTGATCTTACTTCTGTATACCTGAAAGAATCCTTTTGGGTTAGTCTTCGAATCTCTTGCAACTTTAACCTCATAATCTCTTTTTGCTTTCCTAATTCCTTTTTTTATTTCTCTCTTTAACTGAATATATCGATTTCTTAATTGCCCCTCTCCTCTTTTGATTTGCCTATATATGCCTCTCTTTTGACCAATTAGATATTTTAATCTATTGTTCATCCATTTAGGATCATTTTTGTTTGATCTGATTTCCCTATTTGGAACATAATTTGACTGAGCAGCTAGAACTATGCCCTGGAAAGTGTCATATCGGCATCTATCACCACCTACCTGACCCTTAGTCAGGTCATTCCAGTTCAGCCCACCTAAGTAATTTTTCAGTCCTATGAAATCAGCCAAGTGGAAGTCAGGGACAGAGACTTGATTGCCATTATTAGGGGAATTCCATGATATATTAAAACTGAGTGATTTGTGATCACATTCCCCAAGCTCATCATTAACCTCAAGATTATTAATTAGTGTTTCCCTACTGGCAAGAACCAAGTCAAGGAGGTTATTTCCCCTAGTTGGCTCTGTCACAAACTATTTTAAAAAACAATCCTGGATCGTAGTAAGGGCAAAGAGTTTAAAACACACACAGTGAAATTAAATCAGTTATGATTACTTTTGCTATAAGTGGCTCTTGCCGGGAGCTAATGGGTATGTGTCAAGTTTCCCGATTGTAGACACCTGTCTACAATTGGGAAATTGTGTATCAAGGGAAAGTGTTTTCATAGTATCCCTTTACGCTTAGTTTTCTCGTTGCACCCCAATTGTCATGGGTAAAATTTCTTCACGTAGTTCTTAATTATCGAGTTTCAGCATTGAATAAATTATTTGAATTACTGAATAACACTTATAAGTTGTGAATGTGTATGTACACTCTCGAATGGAGGAATGACACGTGGTAATATAGAAACACTGCTGAGACAAGTCTACAGGAAAGACGAAACTAGACAAGTATCTTCACCAGGTGCCAGATCAACCAGGTTGTGATGGATATGTGGGGCAACGGGCCTCTAGCAGCAGTAGCCTGGTTGACCAGGCGAGCCTGGCCCATGGCCGGGCTCAGAGAGTAGATATACTCTCGAAATTCTTCAAAGGTATATCAAAGGTAAAGGAGGAAACTGGACAAGTATCTTCACCAGGTGCCAGATCAACCAGGCTGTGATAGATATGTGGGGCTGCAGACCACTAACAGTAATAGCCTGGTTGACCAGGCAAGGTCCAAACAAGCCAGACCCATGGCCGGGCTCTGGAGTAGAAAAAACTGAACTAATCAGAGGTATACACCAAATTGAACACTGCCATAACATAGTGAGAGAGATGAGAGACTGTGTTCTAGAAGTAGGGGCTCCGTGAGCACTATAAACAAATGCTATCAACATATGTGGTCCCAAACTTTTAACACCTTGCCAGAAGGTATCAGGAACATTTATGAAACAAGTGTAGAAGTCACGAGGAGACTCGACAATTGACAATTTCTTCGAAGTTCCGGATCAACTAGGCTGTGACGGATGTGTTCAAGCGTGCCGCCAGCAACAACAGCCTGGTTGACCAGGCTGTTGAAATGTCATGGGTTCCATACAGTTATTATGTTCTTTTATATTCATGGCATCCCCTGTTTTTCGTTTGGAGTATTTTACACCTCTCGATTTCATAGGGAGTGATTTGTGTGTGCAGATTCTGGACCACTCTTCTAGGCTTCTCCAGGTGTAAATTGCAATGCATATACATGTACATATCTCACTTTCATTCGAAAGAATAGAGGTGGATGGACTTGAAATGTTCCCAGTAATTTAGGTGTTAGACTTGAGGCATAGTACTTGCCTCACTTCTGTGTATCATTCTTGTATCTGATACAGACAAGGACTTGTTATAGCATTGTAACATCCTTTGAGGAGGGCACCAGAATCTCAGTGAGAATAGCATCCATCTTCAAGAGGATGTAAATAAAATCTTCCAGTGGATGTCAGCAGTGTGATGTTGAGCGAGAAAAAGTTTATCTACAGAAGAATGTAGGAAATAGCGACTGAAAAGGGGTTCAGGATAAACTTAAATCATTCAGTAGAATGGAAGTTACATGTGCCAGACTTGGGAGTAATGATATCAGAAGATATCAGTCAAGGATCACAATGATGTTGCTATTACTACTACATGTAAAATGATGAGCTGGATAATGATAGGCTGTTAGTACTCCAGTCTGCAGTACTAACAGCTTCTTTTAAACCAGGGGAAATTGCTGGGCTAGAAAACAGAACTTGCACTACCTGTTTACACCTAATCATTTAAACTATAGTGAATGCCTGAAGTCCTTTCAGCTTTATTTCTTGGAACAAAGGCAAGAAAGATAATCATAATTTACACCTGGGAAATCTTTGGTGGATTTACACACCAGAATCACCCTGTGTGATAGCAAAAGACTTGGTAGACAGTGCAAAATAACTCCCATAATAAGCAAGGGTGCAGCGAGTCCAGTGATAAAGAATTTGTCGAGTGTCTGAAGTCCCTGACTCTTCTATGCCCTCGCTCTGTACATGAGGGGGAATTGCCAACGTCTGACTTGTCTTCAAGAAGGAACTGGAAAAGTTCCTCAAATCACAGCCTAACCAACCGGGCTGTGGGTCATACGTTGGACTGCATGTGACGAACAGTAACAAACTGGTTGATCACACCTTGATCCCCCGGGAGGTCTGGTCTGGGACCAGGCCAAGGGAGGATGTTAACATTTTCTGTGTCTGCAGTTTGATCTGCTTTAAAAGGGGGCTGTCAGTGTTCAGCTTTGAGGGAACAGTGAGGGAACAGTATCCCTTATTTTGAAGGTTCTCATTATCCATCCTTCTGTTTTCCTAACAATTGTTTTAACATTGTGGTGTTTCTGGAAACAGATCCTTTCAAGGACTGTAATATAATTTATCACTCCTAAGTCCTTCATGTTAGTTTCTTGCTCAGTTGAGTGGTTATAGTTAGTTGTATATACTTTGTTCTAGTTGTGTTGGTAATTTCTCTTGTTGAAAAATCATGGGCCCTTCTTACTTAGTGTTATTTCTTATTAATATATTCATTGTGCTCCCTGCTTTTCATTGAGGATATTTTGTACTATTTGCAGAACCACTTGCTATTGTAGGGAGGTATTCTGGTGTGCTTTTGGGGACCAATCTCCAGACTTTTTCATGTGTAAATTAAATGCACAGCTCTTTCCTATGTTGCACATAGTGCAATTTGAGAGATTTCAAAATTCCCAGTAATAAAGGTATTTAACCGAGTATGAACAATCAGTGAAGGTTCACTTTGTTGTCCAGATCTACAATTTTTCCTGCCTTAAAGGCTGCTGGTAGAGCAGTATTCCCATCAAGCGAGACCAAGTGACTTGGAGTATCATGGAAGCATAGTGAGAGACTAGTCTTGGTAATGTAAAATCCTCCTCCCTTCCCTGGGGCTGCTCTCCTGCATCTGGCTGGCCAGCAGCCAGCCTTACGCACAACCTTGATAGCATGCTACTGCTCCCATACTGAAGAAAATATCACGTGCTGAAATTGACTAGAATAAAGTTTATTGTACCTGACTACTGTATTTTGATAAGGAAGTGTTACATTAGTTGTCATGTTGACAGTAAGTTATCCATCATCTGTGGGAATTTTTAGTAGCTAATCAGCAACTACCGTATTTGTTGAAACTTGATTGATCGAGATAAAACAATAAAAATTTGACACTGGCAGTAGATTTCATCTGGGTAGATTTCATCTGGGTCTCCTAATGTTGCATACCAATCATCTGCATGTTGGTGTGCTGCACTATGTATTCCAAATTTTAAAGAGCAAAAGATGAAAATTAATTATGTAAAAACTGGGAGTTGACACTGGAATGACTGTGTTCATGCACTGAAGATACAGCAGTGTAATGTGCAGTACTGTCAAGGCATTTTTTTTTTTTATATGTGTACCTGGTCACAGACAGGTTCATACAGGCAGTGAACTGGGAAATCTGGCCTCAGGCTGAGCTGCAAGAAAACTCCCTTCAAAACCAGTCACAGGTATATCATAATTTAAGCTGTTCTATTAGTATGTCAGTGCCTGGAGATCCTTTTCCATAGCCCATCAGTACTTTAATTTCATGTTTTCTCTCAATTTATGAATTAAATCCTAAATCAGTATTGCATGTAACATGGTTATTTTGGATGTACGTATAGAATTATGAGTATGCTCATGTGTGGGTTATTGCAGGTTGTGTGGTTGTGAGCGGCAACAACAGAGAAGAGGTAGCAGATGTACGGGAGGGGCAGGATGTCACCCTCAAGTGTCGCTTCAACAATCCATCACTGCTCTCCACTGGGGGACAGATCTACTGGATGAGACAACGCACTGGTGAGAAGGACAATGTTGCCATTGCTGATACCCCCTTGGACCGCAGCTACACGTAAGTACCCTAAAGCTGTATTTTTGAAGCTAAGCCTAGATATATTAGCATCTACTTTGTTCACTTCTACCATGTAAGTGTCTGCCTAATATAGTGACTGAACAGGACACTTGTATCGATTTTTCAGTTAACCTGTAAACGGTCCAAGCAGATCTACGTTCATATGCGTAGTGCTCCAAAAGTAGATCTAGGCTTTTTTTTTTTTTTTACATATTTTCAAATATAACAAAAAAAAAAATAATGTAGATCAAAGTTTATTTACACATTTTCAAATGTAAAAAAAAAAAAAATCTAATTTTTTACATACTTTCAAATGTTGAAAAAACGTATATGTATATACGTTTGGACCGTTTACGGGTTAAAGAAGAATATGGTTTCTGTTGCCACATTAGAACATTTGCCATGTTCTAGTGCTTACATGCCCACACTCTTGAGTCATTATAGGCAGTAATTTATGAGCAGCATCCATGGAGGACCCAATTCTTCCAGTAAATTATAAAAAGAATGTTATGATATACAGAGCCGATTTTAAATTTATAGCTCTTCCAACATAGAATTTTTGGGCATTTATGGAGACCATAGGTGTCAGAGACCAATTTTGGATGTGTTGTAGCACAACACGAATTAAACTGCTGCATGCATGCATGCATGCATACTGGATATAAAATAAATAAATGTATGGCCTTACTAAAATATGCTGGCAAGATAACATGGGTAACATAAAGCACTACCATACCTTGAAACACAATAGACATGTTGAAGATTGACGTGTTTCAGAATCGTACATTTGTTAACTATGGGAACAACTTTGTTTGTATAGCAGGAGACAGTCACCAATCTCCAAAATTATACACAAACTTAGAAATTGAACACACAAAACTAAATTTGAAAGCTGCATGCATTACCCAAGAAAAGCCATCAGCAAAAATTGAAAGTATAGTAGTACAAAATATTAACTATATACAGTGGACCCCCGGTTAACGATTTTAATCCGTGCAAGAGGGCTCATCGTTATGCGAAATAATCGTTATGCGAATGAATTTTCCCCATAAGAAATAATGGAAATAAAATTAATCCGTGCAAGACGCCCAAAAGTATGAAAAAAAAATTTTTTTACCACATGAAATGTTAATTTTAATACACACAAACTGAAAAAGGCATGCACAATTAAATGACACTTACTTTTATTGAAGATCTGGTGATGATTGATGGGATGGGAGGAGGGGAGAGAGTGTGTTAGTGTTTAGAAGGGGAATCCCCTTCCATTAGGACTTGAGGTAGTAAGTCCTTTTCTGGGTTACTTCCCTTCTTCTTTTAATGCCACTAGGGCCAGCTTCAGAGTCACTGGACTTCTTTCGCACAAGATATCTGTCCATAGTGGCCTGTACCTCTCGTTCCTTTATGACTTGCCTAAAGTGTTTCACAACATTGTCAGTGTAATAATCACCAGCACGGCTTGCAATAGCTGTGTGAGGGTGATTTTCATCCATGAAGGTTTGCACTTCAAGCCACTTTGCACAGATTTCCTTAATCTTTGAAGTAGGCAACTTCTTCAATTTCTCTCTCCCTCCTCCGAAGCAATTTCCTCAGGTGTGGCCTCTTGCTGTTGAAGTTGATCTAGCAGCTCATCAGTGGTTAGTTCTTCATTGTCCTCCTCCACCAACTCTTCCACATCCTCCCCACTAACCTCCAACCCCAAGGACTTTCCAATGCCACAATGGATTCCTCAACTGGCACAGGATTCTCAGGGTTAGCCTCAAACCCTTCAAAATCCCTTTTGTCTACACATTCTGGCCACAGTTTCTTCCAAGCAGAGTTCAAGGTCCTCTTTGTCACTTCCTCCCAAGCCTTACCTATAAGGTTTACACAATTGAGGATATTAAAGTGATCTCTCCAAAACTCTCTTAGAGTCAGTTGAGTTTCTGAGGTCATTACAAAGCACCTTTCAAACAGAGCTTTTGTGTACAGTTTCTTGAAGTTGGAAATAACCTGCTGGTCCATGGGCTGCAGGAGAGGAGTGGTATTAGGAGGCAAAAACTTCACCTTAATGAAGCTCATGTCCCCATAAAGTCGCTCTGACACGTCTGTAGGATGACCAGGGGCATTGTCTAACACCAGGAGGCACTTAAGTTCTAATTTCTTTTCAGTTAGGTAATTTTTTCACATTGGGGGCAAATGCATGGTGTAACCAGTTATAGAAAAATTCCCTAGTGACCCATGCCTTACTGTTTGCCCTCCACAGCACACACAAATTATCCTTGAGGACATTCTTTTGCCTGAACGCTCTGGGAGTTTCAGAGTGATACACTAATAAAGGCTTCACTTTGCAATCACCAGTAGCATTGGCACACATCAACAAAGTAAGCCTGTCTTTCATAGGCTTATGTCCTGGGAGTGCCTTTTCCTCCTGAGTAATGTAGGTCCTGCTTGGCATTTTCTTCCAGAACAGGCCTGTTTCATCACAATTAAACACTTGTTCAGGTTTCAGTCCTTCAGTTTCTATGTACTCCTTGAATTCCTGCACATATTTTTCAGCCGCTTTGTGGTCCGAACTGGCAGCCCTCACCATGCCTTATCACACTATGGATGCCACTACGCTTCTTAAATCTCTCAAACCAACCTTTGCTGGCCTTAAATTCACTCACATCATCACTAGTTGCAGGCATTTTTTTTAATTAAATCGTCATGCAACTTCCTAGCCTTTTCACATATGATCGCTTGAGAGACGCTATCTCCTGCTATCTGTTTTTTCATTTATCCACACCAATAAGAGTCTCTCAACATCTTCCATCAATTGCGATCTTTGTTTCGAAAACACAGTTGAACCTTTGGCAAGAACAGCTTCCTTGATTGTCTTTCTGGTGCCCACAATAGTAGCGATGGTTGATTGGGGTTTCTTGTACAGCTTGACTAGGTCGGCTATACGCACTCCACTTTCATACTTATCAATTATCTCTTTCTTCATCTCTATAGTAATTCTTACCCTTTGAGGTGTAGGGTTGGCACTAGAAGCTTTCTTGGGGCCCATGGTCACTTATTTTCCAGAAACAGCACCGAAAATACTGTAATAATACGAAATATTCCGAGTGTATGCTTGGATGTTACCGCGGAGGCTGGCTGGTAAACAATGGGACGGAGCGGCACATGTGAGGCTGGCTGAGGGCACATTGGACGCGTCTCGGACGAAAATCGGTATGCGGGTTTTTAATCGGTATGCGGGGCAAAAATTTTGCGATAAAAGTAATCGTTATGCGGAAAAATCGCTATGCGATGCCATCGTTATGCGGGGGTCCACTGTATTCTCTTTAACTTCTCAGAAATACTGTTGATTGACATACATTCCTCTCTTGTAATCTAGCGGGTTTTATGTTTTGTTTATTAATTTGTTTTACAGTGGTACCTTGGTAAGCATCCTTAATCCATTCCAGGACCTTGGACTTGTACCAAACGATTTTTCCCATTAGAAATACTATAGGGAAAACAAATCATACCACGGGTGGGATTAGAACCCTCGATCAGTCTCAAAACTCCAGACCGTCTCTGATCACAGGTTCTAACCCCACCCGTGGTATGGTTTGTTTGCAATCGTGTCATTACGATTTTGCGAGTCGTGTAGGGACAACGATTAATCCATTCCCATGAAAACAAAATCCTATTGTTATTGGCAGTGATGGGGTTGTATAAAATAATTTAAACACTACTTAATACTAAAATATGTAATTTAAACACTGCTTAATACTAAAATACATACATAAATACAAAAGAATTAGATAAATGCAAATTTAACCTCGCTTTACTTTGCTAAAAATAGTTGAGTGCCTACTAGGATAATGCTGAGAAGGGAGGAGGAGGAACTGTTATTGTTTGGAAGGAGCGTCCCTTCTCTTTTCAGTCTCATTTACCTATTTGGACCTGGTTGAAGCTCACCAGGTTTGAATTTTACTGAAAAACTGTCCAGTGAACTTTGCTTCTGCCTTCTCCTCAGGATGTTTCGGAAATGTGACATTGTCTGGTCATTCCGGACAGTGCTATTATGGCTTGTTTGGGCTTTGTTGGGGTGGTACTTCTCTGCAAAATTTTTGACATCCATCCATTTAGCAAAGATTTCCTTGATTAATGAAGTAGGGGTTTCCTCTGTCTCCTCTTCCAAGCCTGAAGAGTGTGCATCGTCTTAGTCTTGTGCTCCTCCTTCTCAAGTTCCTGCAGATCCTCAGTGGTCAGCTCTTCCCAGTGCCCCTCCACTAACTCCTCCACATCACCATCACTCACATCCAGACACATGGACCTGGTTAATGGTTAATGAATTTACTAAAAATTTATGTGAAAAAACACAATCGCGTGAAAATTCAGAGTTATGGTGCGGCCTGTTCACTGAATGGTAGTGGGCAGTCGTGGCTTTGTCTCGAGAGGTAAACAAAGGTAGCGCATGGTGTTGATTCATTTTGACCCATACAAGTTCTAGCACGCGAGTCGTATTTCGAACATGGGTTGTATACCAAGCAAAAATTTTTGCGTCCAAACAGGACATGTACCAAGTTGGACTTATTCCAAAGTAGATGTATACTGAGGTACCACTGTACTCGTCAAAATTCCCATGGTAACATTCAAAGGGACTTACAATAATTTTTGTTGAGTATTTCTCTTCTAGTAAATGCTAGGACTAATATTTATGGAATTTTGTCTTAATATATTTTTAAACAATTGTTGAAGATTACTTATTAATTTGTATTATGCAGGGTGGACTTGGAGCCAAGTGAGGGGCGGTATGACCTGACCATCAGCCGTGCCACGTATGAGCGAGACAATGGGATGTTTGAGTGCCGTTTCAAGGAGGCGGGGACTGGCTCAGATCTGCACACAACTACCGTCAACCTGACAGTACTCATTCCTCCTGGCAGCCCAAGAATCAACCCTGAAGCACCCACTGCCACTGAGGGCCAGTCCATAGACCTTGTCTGCTCCTCCCAAGGTGGCTCCCCAGATCCTCAAATTATGTAAGTGTAGCCACCATCTATACGTAGTACTGTAATGCACTCTGTGCCTTCAATATCGGATGTTCTATTAGTTACTTTATGTATGTATATCTTTCTTATTTCAACAAACAGGCTGTATCCCACCTAAGCAGGGTGGCCCAAAAAGAAAAACAAAGTTTCTCTTTTTAACTTTAGTAATGTATACTGGAGAAGGGGTTACTAGCCCCTTGCTCCCGTGTGTGTGTTTGCGCTTATGTATGTGTTATACATACATACATAATGTATGTATATATATTTTTTGATGCTTTATTTGTGCACAAGAAACAACACCTGTGTATTGGCATCTTTCCTCAACGCTGTTTTATTAGATATTACAGTCTAAATGCTTACGATAATGCAATCTGGTAGAAAATGAATTACATATTTAAATGTTTAGGCTCATCTCCTTGATGCTGGTGAAGGGCTCTTGATCTAGGGAATTGGATCTGTGCTCCAGTTACCTAAATTAATAATGATAATAAATAATAATAATAATAATATTATTATTATAACGATAGAGCTTCAGTTCCATGAATTAATAATAATACATAATCTTTTTTCTTTCACCACACCGGCCATATCCCACCAAGGCGGGGTGGCCCAAAAGGAAAAATGAAAGTTTCTCCTTTTACATTTAGTAATATATACAGGAGAAGAGGTTACTAGCCCCTTGCTCCCGGCATTTTAGTCGCCTCTTACAACACGCATGGCTTACGGAGGAAGAATTCTGTTCCACTTCCCCATGGAGATAAGAGGAAATAAACAAGAATAAGAACTAGAAAGAAAATAGAAGAAAACCCAGAGGGGTGTGTATATATGTGCTTGTACATGTATGTGTAGTGTGACCTAAGTGTAAGTAGAAGTAGCAAGACGTACCTGAAACCTTGCATGTTTAATAATACATAATACGTACAAAATAATAACTCAGAATGCTGCTGCTAGTTGACATAGCTGATGCTAAAACATCCAGTAAGCAGTATACATGTTGACATTGCTGTAGGCGCAGTTCTCTCGTGCTTGCTTGCATTTTTTTTAGTCATTTGGCCAAACTTCTTTTTTTCTAACTGTGGGTTCTAAGAAAATAAGTGCAAAGGACAGTGCTGAGAAGAAAGACGACTTCCATGGACTTAGCCAGGCAATACCAGCTTAGTACATCTACAATATGTAGATACTAAAGCTATATCAGTTACGTTCAGTGATTAAACAAAACAGTGTTGTTGTGGGAGGTTTACAGGGCTACTGACATGCCACAGCCTGAACCTCCCCCACCCTCAACATCCCCCATCCTCAACAGCTCCTACCCTCAACCTCCCCCACTATGTTTTTATATATGATATTTCTGCAATTAGCCTCATAAATACTCTGTTTTCTCTTACAATAAGAGCATGGGAAGATACTCTAGTCAAAGTTAGACAGGAAATGGCGGACGCTTCCGCTGTTGCCTCTGCAGGGGTATATATCATATTTGTGTTAATTATATTGTTTATTATGTCATATTAGATGAATTGTGATAGATAAATAAGCTGTACATTTGATACTAGTGTCATATTCAAGATACAGCATATTCAAGAGTGATTGGTGGAATTATGAAGTAAAGCTTGTGATAAGAGAAAAAGGTAGCTTATGAGAGGTTTTTACAAAACAGAAGTGTTATAAGAAGAGCAGAGTATATGGAGAATAAAAGAAAGGTGAAGAGAGTGCAAAAGGAGAGCAGATGATAGGGTAGGAGAGGCACTGTCAAGAAATTTTGAAGTGAGATAAACAAGTTTTCAAAGCCTAGGGAACGAATGGATTTGCCAGTTAAAAACAGAGTAAGGGAGTTAGTAGATAGGGAGATGGAGATATTGGGTAGATGGTGGGAATATTTTGAGGAACTTTTAAATGTCGATGAAGAAAGGGAGGCGGTAATTTCATGCACTGGGCAGGGAGGTGTACCATCTTTTAGGAGTGAAGAAGAGCAGGATGTGAGTGTGGGGGAGGTGCATGAGGCATTACGTAGAATGAAAGGGGGAAAGGAGCTGGAACTGACGGGATCATGACAGAAATGTTAAAAGCAGGAGGGGATGTAGTGTTGGAGTGGTTGGTATTTTTGTTTAATAAATGTATGAAAGAGGGGAAGGTACCTAGGGATTGGCAGAGAGCATGTATAATTCCTTTATATAAAGTGAAGGGGGACAAAAGAGATTGTAAAAAATTATACCTCGAGTTTACCTGGAGAGAGTTCTGGGGGTCAACGCCCCTGCAGCCTGGTCTGTGACCAGGCCTCATGGTGGATCAGAGCCTGATCAACCAGGCTGTTACTGCTGGCTGCACGCAATCTAACGTACAAGCCACAGCCCGGCTGGTCAGGTACCGACTTTAGGTGCTTGTCCAGTGCCTGCTTGAGGACAGCCAGGGGTCTGTTGGTAATCCCCCTTATGTATGCTGGGAGGCAGTTGAACAGTCTCGGGCCCCTGACACTTATTGTCTCTTAATGTGCTAGTGACACCCCTGCTTTTCATTGGGGGGATGTTGCATCGTCTGCAGAGTCTTTTGCTTTTGTTGTGAGTGATTTCCGTGTGCAACTTCAGTACTAGTCCCTCTAGGATTTTCCAGGTGTATATAATCATGTATCTCTCCCGCCTGTGTTCCAGGGAGTACAGGTTTGGGAACCTCAAGCGCTCCCAGTAATTGAGGTGTTTTATCTCCGTTATGCGCGCCGTGAAGGTTCTTTGTACATTTTCTAGGTCAGTAATTTCACCTGCCTTGAAAGGTGCTGTTAGTGTGCAGCAATATTCCAGCCTAGATAGAACAAGCGACCTGAAGTGTCATCATGGGCTTGGCATCCCTAGTTTTGAAGGTTCTCATTATCCATCCTGTCATTTTTCTAGCAGATGCGATTGATACAATGTTATGGTCCTTGAAGGTGAGATCCTCCGACATGATCACTCCCAGGTCTTTGACGTTGGTTTTTCACTCTATTTTGTGGCTTGAATTTGTTTTGTACTCTGATGAGGTTTTAATTTCCTCATGTTTACCATATCGGAGTAATTGAAATTTCTCATTGTTGAACTTCATATTGTTTTCTGCAGCCCATTGAAAGATTTGGTTGATGTCCGCCTGGAGCCTTGCAGTGTCTGCAAAGGAAGACACGGTGCTGTGGCTGACACCCTTGTCTGTCAGATATGAGGATGAGAAACGAGATGGGAGCGAGTACTGTGCCTTGTGGAACAGAGCTTTTCACCGTAGCTGCCTCGGACTTTACTCTGTTGACGACTACTCTCTGTGTTCTGCGTGTGAGGAAATTATAGATCCATCTACCAACTTTTCCTGTTATTACTTTAGCACGCATTTTGTGCACTATTACGCCATGGTCACGCTTGTCGAAGGCTTTTGCAAAGTCTGTATATATTACATCTGCATTCTTTTTGTCTTCTAGTGCCTCTAGGACCCTGTCGTAGTGATCCAGTAGTCGGGACAGACAGGAGCAACCTGCTCTAAGCCCATGTTGCCTTGGGTTGTGTAATTGATGGGTATCTAGATGGGTGGCAGTCTTGCTTCTTAGGACCCTTTCAAAGATTTTTATGATATAGGATGTTAGTGCTATCGGTCTGTAGTTCTTTGCTATTGCTTTACTACCCCTTTGTTGAGTGGGGCTATGTCTGTTTTTAGTAACTGTGGGATGACCCCCGTGTCCATGCTTCCTCTCCATAGGATGGTAAAAGCATGTGATAGGGGCTTCTTGCAGTTCTTGATGAATACCGAGTTCCACGAGTCTGGCCCTGGGGCAGAGTGCATGGGCATGTCATTTATCGCCTGTTAAAGTCATTTGGCGTCAAGATAACATCAGTTTACTGAGTATACCAGGAAAAAGTGTATGGTAGGGTTATTATTGAAAGAATTAGAGGCAAGACAATGTAGGATTGCCGATGAGCAAGGAGGTTGTAGAGTGGGTAGGAGATGTGTAGCTCAAGTGTTTACATTGAAGCATACATGTGAACAGTATTTAGATAAAGGTAGGGAAGTTTTCATTGCATTTATGGATTTCGAAAAGGCATATGATAGTGGATAGGGGAGCAATGTGGCAGATGTTGCAAGTATATGGAATAAGTAGTAAGTTACTAAATGCTGTAAAGAGTTTTTGAGGATAGTGAGGCTCAGGTTAGGGTGTGTAGAAGAGAGGGAGATTACTTCCTGGTAAAAGTAGGTCTTAGACAGGGATGTGTAATGCCACCATGGTTGTTTAATATATTTATAGATGGGGGTTGTAAAAGAAGTAATGCTAGGGTGTTTGGGAGAGGGGTGGGATTAAATTATGGGGAATCAAATACAAAATGGGAATTGACAGTTACTTTTTGCTAATGATACTGTGCTTATGGGAGATTCTAAAGAAAAGTTGCAAAGGTTAGTGGACGAGTTTGGGAGAGTGTAAAGGTAGAAAGTTGAAAGTGAGCATAGAAAAGAGTAAGGTGATGAGGGTATCAAATGATTTAGATAAAAATTGGATATCCAATTGGAGAGGAGGGGTATGGAAGAATTGAATGTTTTCAATTATTTGGGAGTTGATGTGTCAGTGGATGGATTTATGAAGGATGAGGTTAGCCATAGAATTGATGAAGGAAAAAAGGTGAGTGGTGCATTGAGGTATATGTGGAGACAAAAAACATTATCTATGGAGGCAAAGAAGGGAATATATGAAAGTATAGTGGCACCAACACTTGTATATGGGTGTGCAGCTTGGGTTGTAAATGCTGCAGCGAGGAGGCAGTTGGAGGTGGTGATGTCCTGTCTAAGGGCAATGTGTAGTGTAAATATTATGCAGAGATTCAGAGTGTGGAAATTAGAAGGTGTGGAGTTAATAAAAGTATTAGTCAAGAGGGCTGAAGAGGGGTTGTTGAGGTGGTTTGGTCATTTAGAGAGAATGGATAAAAGTAGAATGACATGAAGAGCACACAAATATGTAGGGGAAGGAAGGCAGGGTAGGGGTCATCCTTGAAAAGGTTGGAGGGAGGGGGTAAAGGAGGTGTTGTGGGTGAGGGGTTCAGACTTCCAGCAAGCATGAGTGAGTGTGTTAGATAGGAGTGAATATAGACGAATGGTATTTGGGACCTGACGAGCTGTTGGAGTGTGAGCAGGGTAATATTTATTGAAGGGATTCAGGGAAACCAGTTATTTTATATAACCAGACTTGAGTCCTGGAAATGGGAAGTACAATGCCTGCACTCTAAAGGAGGGGTTTGGGATATTGGCAGTTTGGAGGGATATATTGTGTATTTTTATACATATATACTTCTAAAGTGTTGTATTCTGAGCACTTCTGCAAAAACATTGATTATGTGAGAGCGAGGCGAAAGTGTTGAATGATGATGAAAGTACGTATTTTCTTTTTGGGGATTTTCTTTCTTTTTGGATCACCCTGCCTCGGTGGGAGACGGCCGACATGTTTAAAAAAAAAAAAAAAAAAAATATGGTATGAAAAAAATAAAAGGTGGCTTTGTGGGCACTACTCTCTCTACAGAACAGATGGTCACCATTGTTTCCCTTGCTACTGATGCACTTCATGAACATGAAGACCATCAGAACCAAGTTGTTCACGTTCTTCATCAATTGGTTGTTCAGGTTCTTCATCCTCATCTGTTCTTTGCCTTTAGGAATTCAGCTTCTATATTTCCTCTGCATTTGGTTCCTGCTCATCATCTAGGAGCTCATTGATGTCATCTGGATGCATATCTTCAATTTCCTCACCTGTCACTCTTATTTCTAGGCTAGTAATATTCTGAACCTGACTTTATTCTGATAGAAAACTTGTAAAATCATTCACCTCACTAGGCCATATTTATCTCCAACTGGCATTTATTATTGTTTTTGGGTACACAATCCCATGCTTGTTTATTTTGATGTGGGTAGTGCAGTTGCAATGTTAAATTTTCACCAAAACTCTGGCATTCCACTGTCTGTCATCATTCATTGCTGCCACTTATTTCTGTACTACACCACATGTGCAATGCCACTTAGATGTTTTAATTATTCCTCGATCCAGTGGTTGAGTCAGGGGGTTATGCTTTTGTTGGTTAAAGACAATTTTGAGACCTGGTTCCACATCCTGGCTATGACAATTGTCAAGGAGACTCAATGCATGATTATTTATGGACAGGTACATCAGTCATGCATGTTGTAGGGTTGGACTTCCAAATAACAGGTAACATACTTTTGTTTACCTTTTAAAGTACAAGGATTCTTGGAGTAATAAACAAGCATGGGCTTGCATTTAAAGTCATTTGAGGCCCTGCTGCAAAGGAGCAGGCTGAAAAGGTCTTTTGAGGCCATGAATCAAGGTGCTGTTTTTCTTGTTTGCCGAGGTATGTTCTAGATGGTCTCTTCTTTCAGAACAAGTCTGTCTCGTCAGCATTAAGTTAAAGACCTGCTAAGGTTTGTAGCCACCCTCATAAATAATGTTTGCTAGCTCAGCTGGTAACTTTCGTAACATCATGGTCAGTAGAGAGAGAGAGACTCCCCACTGAACTTATATTATGAAACCCACTGTGCATTCTAAATGGGTTAAACCACTCATTTTGCAGCTGTACTTCCTCCTCACACATTGTTTTACAGTATGATAAGGCTTTTTCCTTAATAAAACGATTAAGAGGAACACCTTTTTTTCACTCCACACATTTAGTAAAATTTTTTTTATTTAACGGTAATGACGTATTCCTCATTCTGTTTGGTGTGTCACACTGAGGGTTACTCATTGTAGTAGCCTTTATCTTCATTTCATAGTCTCAAATTGAATGAATTGCTGATTCTATTAACACCATTGCTGTCTCCATGATACCTGTCCCACTCTTTAGCATCTTGATTACCTCCAGTATTTTCAAGATAGGCCTAGTTGCATGTTTAATTTTCTTCCTTGCTTCACCAGTGTCACCTGCACTTTGTGTGGATGTCATAATCAATATCCAGTTATGAAATGGGGTTATAGAAAGAATGAAAAATTGAGTGATGTGTATCAAGCGAAAATAATATGGTATACATCCAGATATACTGACCCACGTGGGAGGCTGGTTGTTTACAGCCCCTCATCCTCCTTGGCACCACTTAAACAGTGACGTGACCCACTGCATAGTAGGGGTTCTCCTGCCTGCTGTAACACTTCCTAATGGAAATGCATGCCACCAGTGGAAATGGCACTTTTCTGTTGGAAATAAATAAGTAAATTTAAGTTGCTGAATATTGAAATTGTGAGCTATAATCACATGATTTATGAAGATTTCCTGTACCATAAGCTTCTCTTAAAGCCTGGTCTCTAGTGATTTCTTGTTTGCCATGTATATTTCCCTATTTTACTAGTTTGTAGCTATTTCACATTTATATTTATTATTTTATATGATAGCTACCTAGTTTGGAAAAAGCAATAGAAGTTCATTATTTGATTGCAAGACTGTTGCAGCATGTTGTAACTTGTTAAATGCAATTTGATTACATATGCATCACAAATAAGAGTTTTACTGTCTTGATTCTAAAGCTAAGGTGAGTTTGCAGTGGCAAAAAAATGAACTCCTGGCTCGGAAAATATACATTTACATATTGTACTATTTAAAAATTCTAAGCAGAAGCAAAGTTTCAGCGAGAAATGATATACAGCACACATTTTTGTGGCAACCCTGTTGAATTCTGCTATAGTGGCATTCATGGGATTCTCTGTCTAGTACCTCCAAGGATAATAAACTAAAAAAAACATTGGACTATTCAACAATTCCAGGTTCACCAGTAAACTGATAAGGTAGCTGCTGAACTAAGTTTTTGCTATTCTTCCTGAGAGTGAGAGTACCTCTGCGAGAAACAGTACATTTCACTCCAATTAATTACAAGCAGTCATCAGATTTTTTCCTTGGCTATTGCAGTATTAATTTCATTACTACATTTACATTTATTATTTTATAGTGAATTCTGCACAGTTTTATGAAGTGCGTGGAGAGAAGGATAAATACTGATATTGTCTCATTCTTGAATAGAATATTGCACTACGAACAATAAGCACCCAAAGCATCATAGGTATAAATGTTAGGAACTTTGAGTCTCTTTCATAGGTGACATGAGTAGGGGTAGCTAGTTTACCTAGTTGTTATCACCTAGTAACAATTCATGTCTAGCTGATGAATATATTTCCCTCTTAATAAACACTGATTAATATTAATGAGAATTATATACCAATGTACCAAATAATTATAATTGTGCACTACAATATTAAGTTCTAGATTATTGTAGCCTGAATTTGGAGTGTGATGTACAATCCTCTCTGAGTTTGGATTATTTTAACATGTGCAATTTTATACTATGTCATACTCTGGCTGATTTATTAAAGAGTACTGTAATTATAATTGTATATAGTTAGATTTTTTCTGCAATAAAAATTCAAAGCTATATTTCTTCTCAGCTGGTACCGTTCAGGATCTGACCAGAAACTGTACAGTGTGCTAAAGCCTGGCGGTGGACGAGAGACTCCTACAACTTCCGTGTTGACTATCAATCCTGGTAAAGATGACGATGCTGCAGAATATCGATGTGTTGTGTGGAACAGAGCACTTACAGACAATGAGAAGATGGAAACTACTGTTGTTCTCAGTGTTAATTGTGAGTTTTAGCAAATTATTACAGTACAGCCTCTACTTGTTTAACGATGTACTCGTTTACCGACGACTCGGACTTACGATGGCCACTCTGACCAGTATGCATACCTAAATAATGTATATTAGAGCTGATTTCCTCTTCTGTTTATTACAATATACAGTACATTTAAAAATGTTGCACGTAAATGGTGCAAGGGTGATACTAAAGCAATATCAAAGATGGTTGACATAAACCCACTACCATTATAGTATGCTCCTCATTTAGTGACAAATTTGTTTACTGACACTGTATTGGGAACAGAACTCCGTTGTTAAGTGAGGAGAGGCTGTATTGAAATAAATTATCTTTTCATAGATATTTGGTAAAGTGTGATAATTTTTTCAATTCTATTTTCTTTTCAAGGATACAATACTAAGGCAGTATTCAGTTCTTATAAGTGGAGTAACAAATGTACATTTTGTATTTAAGTCAGGTACAATATTCCCTTATCTGTGAGGTACTGCACTATCTTTCACTTTATTCTGTTAGTACTAGCTACTCTCATTGTGGGCCTCATTTTCTTCTATTTTTTTTTATGGTTAATTTACCAACTTATTTTGCTGAAAATTTCCAAGGCTTGTGAGGTCTTTTGGGTCTTTTATATATATAAAATTTCTGTTAGCAATAATGTGGAAAATGTTTATTGTGGATTTTGATTTTTGAAAAGTCACTTTTTATATGGTGTGTTTTAGCATGAAAGCTACAATAAACAACTTGTACAGACTAAAAATAATGGTAAGGCTAAACACTCAACATTATAGCTAATAATAAGTGATATCTAATATTTTACCCTTGATAAAAATATTATTACTCCCATAATTTCATTATTTATCAGACATAAAATGTTCAATTAATGTAATCTGTTTCATAATTAGCCTTCAGCTTGAGTATTAAAAATTATAACTTAAGGTGAATGTATGTATATATATGTGTTGTATGTGTGTGTGTGTGTGTGTGTGTGTGTGTGTGGTGGGGGTAAATTGACAGTTGTTAATATTTTTTTTGTCCTCTGTACAGCTGTAGACTATTGCTATGCTTCAAGTGACTTGCTGGTATTAATACTTTGTACTACAGTACAATTCTTTGATGTTGCTTCCCTTCTAGGGAGGTGCCTTGATACAATAAATGGCTCTTGATCCAGAGAATTGGAGCTACTCTCCCATTCCTTAGATTAAATAGTTTGCATCCCATTTCTCTCACTTCTCATAATGTAACTAAATGTTAGGCTGTTTGGCCAGCTCTTGCCTCATCACTTCAAGGATTGTGTGAAAAAATTAGGGATTTTGTATATATTTTACTGTGTTTGTGTTATAAAGTAACTGAAAATTTAATAATTTAATTTTATACTTTTGCCTAAGAATGCTATATTATAATGCATGCACATTTTGGCTGCAAACAAAATAATAGCATAGCACAAATCCTCTTTATATTGCTGGCAAGATATTTACAGTACAGTATGCCTTATAGAAATAAGGATGACTGTATATCCATGTCCTTTCTCTCCAAAGAGTGAGTGGATTTTATGAGTTATTGCTCACTATTACATAACTTCCTTCTGTGTGAAAAACAATTATCGGCAGTCTCCCACCGAGGCAGGGCGACTCATAAAAGAAAAAACATTCAGCATCATTCACGCTCTCACTGTCTTTGCGGAGGCACTCTGATACATCAGTTTAGATATCACTCCAAACAGCCAGTATCCCAAACCTCTCCTTTAAAGTGCAGACATTGTACTTCCCACCTCCAGGACTTGAGTCCGGCTAACTGGTTTTCCTGAATCCCTTCACAAAGTATTACCCTGCTCACACACCAACTGTTCATCATGTTCCAAAAACCATTCATCTTCATTCACTTTTATCTAACATGCTCACACAAGCCTGCTGCATGTCCAAGCCCCTTGCACACACAACCTCTTTTATCCTCTTCCTCTATCCTTTTAGTGAACTCTTAAGACTTCATTTCATAAGCTGATTCTTTGTTCCACCTCTCTTAACATTTTCGTAATTATGATTTGTTCTCTATTTTTCACCTGATCATTGAAGCAGTTAAATCCAGGCTGCAACCATTGTTAAAAACTATAGATTTTTTCTTGTTTTGTGACTCGAGGAACAAACTTGGCAAGAAATATTGTCTCTAATTAATGCAAACATTTTCCATTGTCTTCCGTAACATCTCATTGTCAGGACATTCCATATTGTGAGTCATGGTTGAAGTGCTACTTAAATATATATAATAGGACTGTAATGCTTGGGAAAAATTTATGAACATGGAAGAAGCAAGTCTGATTTTTCCTTTGTTATACTTTAACCCCCAAAAAAAAAAAAAAATATTGGATATTAGATTGGAGGGAGAGATTATGGAGGAAGTGATTATATTCAGATATTTAGGAGTGGATGTGTCAGCAGATGGTTCTATGAAAGATGAGGTGAATCATGGAATTGAGGGGAAGAAGGCGAGTTGTGCACTGAGGAGTCAATTTTGTCCATGGAAGCAGAGGGAAATGCATGAGAATGTAATTACACCAATGCTCTTATATAGGTGTGAAGCATTTGTGATGAATGTTGCAACAAGGAGAAGGCTGGAGGCAGTGGAGCTGTAGTGTCTGAGGGCAATGTGTGGTGTGAATATAATGCAGAGAATTCATAGTCTGGAAATTAGGAGGTATAGGATTACCAAAACTGTTATCCAGAGGGCTGAAGAGGGGTGGTTGGTGTTTCAGACATGTAGAGAGGATGGAGCAAAATAGAATGACTTCGAGAGTGTATAAATCTGTAGTGGAGGGAAGGTGGAGTAGGGGTCAGCCTAGGAAAGGTTGGAGGGAGGGGGTAAAGGCGGTTTTGTGTGCGAGGGACTTGGACTTCCAGCAAGCATGGGTGAGCATGCTAGTTAGGAACAAATGGAAACAAATGGCTTTTAGGACTTGATGTGCTGTTGGAGTGTGAGCAAGGTAACATTTATGAAGGGATTCAGAGAAACCGGCAGGCCGAACTTGAGTCCTGGAGATGGGAAGTGCAGTGCCTACACTCTGAAAGAGGGGTGTTAATGTTGCAGTTTTATAACTGTAGTGTAAGCATGCCTCTGGCAAGACAGTGATGGAGTGAATGATGGTGAATTTTTTTTTTTTTTCAGGCCATCCTACCTTGGTTGGAAATGGCCGATGTGTTAATAAAAAAAAAATTATACTATTGTGATTAGCATAGATAAAATATCACACAATCTAAAGACTACTGTGAAAACTAAGCACTCCTAATTCTGCCAGCCTTGCTCAGGCTAATGTTTAACAGCATTTCACCTGCTGTGGGGCTTTGTAAGTACTTGACATAGTCCCACAGCAGTCAAAACATCATTAAATCAAAGGCTCACTTTTTTGGTATGTTTGATTCATTATTTGTTGGCTGTTACCATGTATTACCAATTATAAACATGTAAATATTTAAAAATTAAATTATTCAGCAATGCCATTTTCAAATATTCTTCACATGTATTATTACAACATTATTTACTGAACCTCATATTGCTTCAGATTACTGTATAACTAATTTTTCATTTTCAGATTACCCACGCATTACAATTGGTCCTGAGAATCCCCTGCGTGTTGAGCTAGACCAGTCTGCTACTTTAACTTGCTCTGCAGATGCCAAGCCGCCTGTGAGCAATGTGCGATGGACACGTGGTGGACGTTTTATTGGCACACTCAATACACTTGTCAAAGAGCGTGTCACTCTTGACGATGCTGGCAGATATGTCTGTCAAGCTGACAATGGACTTGGCCGTTTGCGCGAAGCAGAAGTAACGCTAGATGTTCTGTATGGGCCAAGAGTTTCTGTAATATCTAGTAAAGATGTAGATGAAGGGGAAGACATTGTAATCACTTGCAATGTGACTGCCAACCCAGCTCCAGTTACCATAGAGTGGCTCAAAGAAGGAGATGACTCCTTCCGTCAGAGTGGTGTCGATATACTGCGACTAAATCGTGTGTCTGCTGTTAATCAGGGCAATTATATTTGTCGCGCTGTAAACATACTAAATCCAACTGGTGGAGAACCCAGTGATCGCATTGGTAATGCTACTGTTGCTGTAAGGGTACGACATGCACCAGGAAAGACTTATATTACTCCTGCTGAACCCATTGCAGTGCAAGGTGAGCAGTCTACTTTGACTTGTGGTGCTGAACCCCCTGGCTGGCCCATGCCTACTTACCGCTGGTGGCGTCATGACTCTGATGCCACCCTCACACTTGGGGCTAATTACACCATTCCTCGAGCCTCTCTCACAGATGAAGGTACCTACTACTGCCAACCTTCAAATCGCTTGGGCAAGGGCACGCCAGCTTCAGTTCGTGTTCGTGTACACCAGCCTCCACGTATTCTAGAAAATCTACCAGAGACTGCCATTCATCGCATAGGAACAACAAACCTTAGTCTTACTTGTCGTGCTCAAGGGAAGCCACAGCCTTCCATCCGTTGGTTAAAAGATGGGGAAGAAATAAGTCCTGCTGATGGATTATATGATATCTTGGTAGAGCAGTCTTCATTAGGCCAGAATGCAGCGCACACAGTCCAGTCCACTTTGCAGTTCAGAGGTGCTAAACGAATCAACGACAATCAGTTACTGCCTACAGATCGTGGCACATATCAGTGTGTCTTCAAGAATGATGTTCGAGAAGTGTCTAGCTCTCAACTTCTCAGAGTAGAGCGTAAGTTGTTAATTTTGAATGTTGATTGAATTCTGATAGTGAAATTATTGATTATTGCTAATCCATATGTATATACAGTATTCTAACAGTGCATATTTGTTTATTGCAGATTCTCCAATTACAGTACACAAGCCCAATAAAGTAGCATTTAATCTTTTGGAAGATGCTCAGCTTGAGTGCCGCATGCAAGCTTACCCAGAACCCAAGTTCCAGTGGTCACTTGGCCCCAACTTCATCGAACCTGATGGTGCTCACTATGCCACAAATGATACAACTTTGCCTGATGATGTATATGCATCTGTACTGACTGTAAGAGGAGTAACTGAAGCTGACTATGGCAGTTATACATGTAAGGGCACAAACAGTAGAGGAGAACACAAAACCATTATCACTTTACAAGAGAAAGGACGCCCTGAACACCCAACAAACCTTCGTGTTATTGATAAGGGTACTGATAAAATAGAGCTTGCTTGGGATGAGAGTTTTAATGGTGGATTTGCCGATACAATCTTCCAAGTTAAAGCAGAGACTATGTCTGGGGAGAAACCAAGCCACGACTGCCAGACCAAGAATCCATGTATCATTGAGCCCCTCGCTCAACAAACTACTTACAAATTGCAGGTCAAGGCCAGTAATATCATGGGTGACAGCGATTTTTCAGATCCACTGGAGGTTACAACACTTGTTAATGTGGATACTATTCCAGAGCCTGAGGAGGTGTATTTTGAAAGAACTGGTAATATGTTGAGTTTCAAAGTGTTGCCTACTGATTTGATGCTACAAGGTCAAGTGGAATTTCGCACAGTTGATTCTGATGAATGGACCCCAATGGAAACACTTGTTCAAATTAGTAGTGACAGCCATGATCATGGTGAAGTGTTCTTGGGTAAAGAATCTCCAGATGATGTTAGAATCAGGTTCTGCTCTGTCTTTGTTGAGAGCAGCTGCGGAAATTATCGCATAGCAAAAAAGGGTGAGTTATGTTGATGTTAAGTTGTAGCTGGTGAATAATTATAATGTATAATATTGATACAGTTATAATGTATAATATTGATAATTTTATGTGATGAGTAGGTCATTAACCAGGTTATAACGAATCTCAGATTTGTGTAAATAAAACGTGTACAATGGTAGGGAACTCAAATAAGGATATATTTGGCTTGCCAGTGGTTTTATCAATCATTGGATTGATCAGGCACTTGATGGGCTAACTATATACTCGTTAAATTTTTTTAATGTTGCACACATCTTATTTAAACATTTGTGGTAATAGTACTATATACTACTTTTTTTTTTTTTGGGGTAAAAGTCTGAAATTGGTCATTTTCTTTTCTGACTAGTTGACTACTTGCCACCAGTTCCTTCACAGTCCATGTCAATGCAGTACATGGTAGCAATCATCGTAGGATGTGTGGTGTTTGTAGCACTAGTTGCTCTTATATTCCTCTGCTGCTGCTGCCGCCACAGAAATAACAAGTTGAAGAACAAGACGGCAGATATGGAGGTGTCGCATAGAGTTGTAACACAGCAGGTAAAACATAATTGGAAATGTGTATTTAATGAGTATTGATCATGGAAATCTAGTGATGTAGTGTTTATCCATCTAGGGTAATCAATTTAATATTTTCCTCTGGCATTCACATTTTTACTGTCCCTTCATACAAATATTGTGTAAAGTAAATTATGCTGATAATGATGAGTAATAATATAAGAATAACACATACAAATTGTTGGATAGAAAAAATATGTACTCTCCTAGTAACGTAGTTAGCTTAGGTTTTTATTCAAATAATAGATATAAGGTCTAGGTAGTAGGTTGGTAGACAGCAACCGCCCAGGGAGGTACTACCGTCCTGCCAAGTGAGTGTAAAACGGAAGCCTGTAATTGTTTTACACGATGGTAGGATTGCTGGTGTCTTCTTTTTCTGTCTCATACACATGCAAGATTTCAGGTACGTCTTGCTACTTCTACTTACACTTAGGTCACACTACACATACATATACAAGCATATATATACACCCCTCTGGGTTTTCTTCTATTTTCTTTCTAGTTCTTGTTCTTATTTATTTTTTATTGTAAGAGGCGACTAAAATGCCAGGAGCAAGGGGCTAGTAACCCCTTCTCCTGTATATATTACTAAATGTAAAAGGAGAAACTTTTGTTTTTCCTTTTGGGCCACCCCGCCTCGGTGGGATACGGCTGGTGTGTTGAAAGAAGAATAGATATAAGGCTGTCAGAGTTAAAGCAGTGTACTGTAATTCAGATATATTGAAAACATCCACATTTATCTTTCTCAATATGTAGCATAATGCAATAATGTTTAAATTAAGGTAAGTAGGTACAGTGGACCCTCCGTTTTCGTCGATCTCCGTTATCTCTGATTTTGGTTTTGGCCGACTTTTTTTTCGTCAACTTTTTTAGTTTTGTTTTTGTCAATTGCCTCTGTTTTCGTCGATTGTACGGAACCTGTCCAGTGCCCAGCGCGCAGACAAAGCCGCCTCCCATACGCATTCTCGGCTAGTGTTGTGTTGTTTCTCAATGAGTGAACATATCCTGCCAGGTCATATGAAACATTTCTTAATCCATTGTTTTTGCCACTTGTTTATTGTGTGTGACTGCTAAATAAGTGACCATGGCCCCACAGAAAGCTCCTAGTGCCAGTGCTTTGGTAAAGAAAGTGAGGAACACCATAGAACTGAAAAAGAAATCCTAAGAAAATATGATAGTGGCATACGCATTGCTGAACTCGGCAGGATGTACGGGAAGTTGCCATCAACAGTCGGCTCCATTGTGGCAAGGAGAAAAGAAATCATGGAAGCTGATGTTGCGAAAGGGGTGAATGCCATAACTAGAGATCCCAAACAATTGAAGAAGTGGAGAAATTGTTGTTGGTGTGGATCAGAGAGAAAGAGTTAGCAGGAGATAGTGTTGTGCAGTCTATAATTTGTGAAAAGGCAAGGCAGTTGCATGACTATCTCATAAAGAAACTGCCTGAAACAAGTGCTATGCAGGCAAATATAAGGCCAGCAAAGGCTGGTTCGAAAAATTCAAGAAGCGAAGTGGCATACACAGTGTTGTAAGGCACAGTGAGGGTGCCAGTTCAGACAAACAAGCGGCTGAAAAATTCGTGTGGGAATTCAAATGTTATGTAGAGGCTGAAAAATTTCAACCCCAACAAGTGTTTAGTTGTGACGAAACAGGCCTGTTTTGGAAGAAAATGCCAAAGAGGACCTACATTACGCAGGATGAAAAGGTACTTCAAGGACACAAGCCTATGAAAGACAGGCGAACACTCTTGTTGTGTGGTAATTCTAGTGGAGATTTCAAAGTGAAGTCTTTACTGGTGTATCACTCTGAAAATCCCAGAGTGTTCAAGACAGTGGTGTCAAGTAAATTGTGTGTGATGTGAAAGGCTAACAGTAGGGCATGGGTCACTAGGGAAATTTTCCTGGAATGGTTTAATGAAGTGTTTGACCTGAGTGTGAAGAAATACCTCCTAGATAATAAATTGCTACTCCAGTGCCTCCTGTTAAGGGACAATGCTCCTGCTCATCCTCCAGACTTGGAAGACCAGTTGTCTAAGGAATTCTGTTTTGTAACAGTGAAGTTCTTGCCTCCTAATACCACTCCTCTCATCCAGCCCATGGACCAGCAGATAATTGCAAACTTCAAAAAACTATACACCAAAGCAATGTTTCAAAGGTGCTTTGACATAACCTCCGATTCTGAATTGACGCTAAGAGAGTTCTCGAAGAATCGCTTCGGTATCTTCCACTGCATAGGCCTTATAGATAAGGCTTGGCAGGAAGTGACTTCCAGGATGATGAACTCTGCTTGGGGAAAATTGTGGCCAGATTGCGTCCAAAAGAAGGATTTTGAAGTGTTTGAGGCTGACCCTGTCGACCCTACATGATGTTGATGTTGGTGAGGGGCTCTTGATTTAAGGAATTGGATCTGTGCTCCAGTTCCCCGAATTAAGCCTGAATGCCTTCCACATCCCCCCCCCCCCAGGCGCTGTATAATCCTCCGGGTTTAGTGCTTCCCCCTTGATTATAATAATAATAATAATAATAATAATAATGTCGACCCTACACCTGTTGTGCAAATCAGTTGTGGCATTGGGGAATTTCATGGGGTTGGATGTGAGTGGCGACGAAGTGGAAGAGTTGGTGAATGACTACAATGAAGAGCTAACCACTGATGAGCTGCAAGAGCTTCATCTGCAACAGCAACAGACCAAGTTGAGGAACTTGCTTCAGAGCAGGAGGAAGAGAGATGGAAGAAGGTGCCTTCTTCAAAGATTAAGGAGATTTGTGCAATATGGACAAAGATGCAAACATTTACGGATGAACATCAACCTGACAAAGCTGTTGCAATCCGTGCTGGCGACTTTTACAGTGACAATGCCATGTCCCATTTTAGGGAAATCTTAGAGATGCCAGAAATAGACCTATCTGGACAGATATTTTGTGTGACAGGGGTCCAGTGACTCTCAAAGCTGGCCCTAGTGGCATTAAAAAACAAAGGAGGGAAGTGACCCCAGATAAGGACTTGGTACATCGAGTCCTTATGGAGGGGGATTCCCCTTTCAAAGAATAACCTCTCTTCTCTCTCCCCTCCTCCCTGTCTTCCTTCTAGCCACAATAGCCTTCAATAAAGGTAAATGTCATGTACAGTGTTCATTCTTTTGTGCATGTAAATCTATTTTTTTTTTAGGTAGTAGGTTGGTAAACAGCAACTGCCCAGGGAGGTACTACCGTCCTGCCAAGTGAGTGTAAAACGAAAGCCTGTAATTGTTTTACATGATGGTAGGATTGCTGGTGTCCTTTTTTCTGTCTCGTAAACATGCAAGATTTCAGGTATGTCTTGCTACTTCTACTTACACTTAGGTCACACTACACATACATGTACAAGCACATATATACACACCCCTCTGGGTTTTCTTCTATTTTCTTTCTAGTTCTTATTCTTGTTTATTTCCTCTTATCTCCATGGGGAAGTGAAACAGAATTCTTCCTCCGTAAGCCACGCATACATATACAAACATATATATAGACATCCCTCTGGGTTTTCTGCTATTTTCTTTCTTGTTCTTGTTTATTTCCTCTTATCTCCATGGGGAAGTGGAATAGAATTCCTCCTCCGTAAGCCATGTGTGTTGTAAGAGGCGACTAAAATGCCGGGGGCAAGGGGCTAGTAACCCCTTCTTTTGTATAAATTACTAAATTTAAAAAGAGAAACTTCAATTTTTCTTTTTGGGCCACCCTGCCTTGGTGGGATATGGCCGGTTTGTTGAAAGAAAAAAAAATTTATCTTTAAGGTATAAAACTTTTTGTTGATACTTCTGGGTGTCTGGAACGGATTAATTCCATTTACATTATTTCTTATGGGGAAAATGGTTTTGGTTTTGGCCAATGGCTCTGGAGCGGATTAAACACGAAAACCAAGGGTCTACTGTATTTTTAAATTTATCATTTAGGTCTGAAATATGTATGCAAATAATGTACTTGTATTTTTCTTATATAGTGATATTTTCTCTGCTAGGCACCACCACCCACCATACTATACTGTTGGCATGGACAACAAAGGTCTGGATGGATCCATGGACACAGGACTTGATGATCCTTCCAAGACTGCAATTTATAGTTCTCAGCAATATCACAACTATAGTCAGAACGGACATGTTAATCCTCAGAACAACAATGGTAAGTTGACCAAATAGTGTCTATATTAAATGGGCAAGTAAAAGCATTTTAATATTTCATTGCATACACCAGTACCCTCCAACATTTCTTCATAACTGATTCACATTAGATGGTTATGTATGGGATGAAGGCAGCACCTTGAAACAAAAGGTGAATTAACAGAAGTTACTCATTTTATTGCCAAAATAGCTGTATATTCCAATAGATATTTGATTTATGTAAAAGTGTAACACAATTGACGTTTTTACTCTTATTTCCTTATACCGAAAGAATAATAAGACCCAATATATGGAGTATATGGAGAAAAAGAGAGGGGTTAAGAGAGTGGTGAAGCAATGTAAAAAGAGAGCAAATGAGAGTGGGTGAGATGTTATCAACAAATTTTGTTGAAAATAAGAAAAAGTTTTGGAGTGAGATTAACAAGTTAAGGAAGCCTAGAGAACAAATGGATTTGTCAGTTAAAAATAGGAGAGGAGAGTTATTAAATGGAGAGTTAGAGGTATTGGAAGATGAGGAATATTTTTGAGGATATTGTTAAATTGTTGATGAAGATAGGAAGCTGTGATTCATGTATAGGCAAGGAGGAATAACATCTGTAGAGCGAGGAAGAGCCAGTTGGTGAGTGTGGGGAAGTCGTGAGGCAGTAGGTAAAATGAAGGTGGTAAGGCAGAGCCGGGTTGATGGGGATAAAGATAGAAATGTTAAAAGCAGGTGGGGATATAGTTTTTGGCGTGGTTGGAGCTATATTTAATAAATGTATGGAAAGAAGGGTAAGGACCTAGGGATTGCAGAGAGCATAGCATAGTTCCTTTGTATAAAGGCAAAGGGGATAAAAGAAGTGAAAATTATAAGGGGATAAGTCTGTTGAGTATACCTGGGTAAGTGTATGGTAGAGTTATTATTGAAAGAATTAAGAGTAAGAACGGAGAATAGGATAGCAGATGAACAAGGGAGGCTTTAGGACAGGTAGGGGGTTGTGTGGACCAGGTGTTTACAGTGAAACACATATGTGTACAGTTATTTAGATAAGTGCTAAAGAAGTTTTTGTGCATTTATGGATTTGGAAAAGTCTATGACAAGGTGGATAGGGGGGCAATGTGGCAGGTGTATGGTATCGGAGGTAGGTCGCTGAAAGCAGGAAGAGTTTTTACGAGATATGAGGCTCAAGTTAGAGTATGTAAGGAAAGAGGAATTATTTCCCTGGTAAAAGTAGGCCTTAGACATGGATGTGGTGATGTCACCGTGGTTTTTAATATATTTATAGATGGGGTTGTAATGAGAAGTAAATGCGAGGGTCCCTGGCAAGAGCTTGGGAGTTAAAAGATAAAGAAATCACACATGAAGTGGAAAGTTGTCACAGTTTACTCTTTGCTGATGACACTGTGCTCTTAGGTAGATTTCCTGAAGGGAGTAAGTTAGAGGTTGGTGGATGAATTTGGTAGGTATGTAAAAAGAAGAAAAATTAAAAGTGAATACAGGAATGAGTAGGTTATGAGGATAACAAAAAGATTATGTGATGAAAGAGTTGGATAATCAGATTGGAGGTAGAGAGTATGGAGGAGGTGAATGTATTCCAGATATTTGGAGTTACTTGTCAGCGGATGGTCTATGAAAGATGAGGCGAATCATAGAATTGATGAGGGGAAAAGGGTGAGCATGTCCACTTAGGAGTCTGTGGAGACAAAGAACTTTGTCCTATGAGCAAGATGGGGAATGGTATGAGAAGTATAGTTTTACTCAACGCTCTTATATGGGTGTGAAGGGCATGGTGATGAATGTTGCAGCGAGGAGAAGGCTTGAGGCAGTGGAGATGTCATGTCTGAGGGCAAATGTGTGGTGTGAATACATGCAGAGAATTCAGTATTTTTGAAAGTTAGGAGGAGGTGCGGATTGCCAAAACTGTTGTCAGAGGGCTGAGGAAGGGTTGTTGAGGTGGTTCGGACATGTAGAGAGAAATGGAGCGAAACAATGACTTCAAAGTGAAATCAGTCTTGTAGTGGAAAGGAGGCGGGGTAGGGTCGGGCCTAGGAAAGGTTGGAGGGACGGGGTAAAGAGGTTTTGTGTGCGAGGGCTTGACTCCAGCGGGCATTTGTGAGCGTTTTTTGATAGGAGTGAATGGAGACAAATAGGTTTTTATGACTTGAAGTGCTGTTGGAGTGTGAGCAAAGTAACATTTATGAAGGGATTCGGGGAAACCGGCAGGCCGGACTTGAGTCCTGGAGATGGGAAGTACAGTGCCTGCACTCTGAAGGAGGGGTGTTAATGTTGCAGTTAAAAAACTGTAGTGTAAAGCACTCTTCTGGCAAGACAGTGATGGAGTGAATGATGGTGAAAGTTTTTCATTTTCAGGCCACCCTGCCTTGGTGGGAATTCTAACAGTGTGCTAATAAAAAAAAAATAAAAAAAAAATAATCCTTAAACTGTGCAAGACACAAATTGACTTTAAATTGCACGACATGTATACTGCTTACAATTAAAGTATGCTGGCCTCCTCTAAACCAGTACCTACAAAAATAAATCATCCCTTGTGCTTTGGGACATCCTTAATCCTTTGAGGATCCAGACTACAGATCTGAAACTTGTCCATAAGTCCAAGAATTTTCTCTAAAAAAAAAAAAAAAAAAAAAAAAAAAAAAAACTATCCTTTTCTGATGGTAATGACACCGAAAGTACAAAATTTATTGGAAAACTTAGGGAATTACGCTTTTTCAAAGTTAGCTGTCTCGGCAATATTTATGCAGTGGCAATTTTGCCCACTTAGGTCCTATTTTAGGCCAATTCCATTGATACAGTTGACCAAAATCTTGGCAATTTTGCTATTATGCCTGCCATGCTATCGATTGAGCACAAGAAACCTCCCATTTAATTATTTCAGCTACCCAATTAATTTCACAAAATTCAATAATTGCCATTTTAAAAACAAGGGTCCAGAATAAAACACTACAGACACTCCTGGCACTATTGTTATGTCCCCTGATATTCCTAGATTACATTTGCTTTCCATTTTGAATTTTTATTTACACAAAATGGAAGATTTACTTTAATGGAGACTACCGCATTGTTGTAATAATCGTATAAATAATGTCGGTGCATTTGTGAACGCGTATTAAACTGACCATCTGGATGTGTATTGAACGAGTGATGTGATTTGTGTCCTCTGGAATATTGGCAGATATCAAATATTTCCACTACTATGAGCTGAATTTCAAGCTACTTTGTTATGAAACCAAAATCATCTCTTTTTTCTGTAATGTATCTAAATTCTATCAATGATACCAAGAATAAAACCATAAAAGCCATTCAGAAATGCACTATGAAGTTGCAATTTTAAACCAAATACAAGGTCAGGTTTTTTTCCCCCTTCATGTATTATGTGGGGGCAGAATTGTTTTTTATATGGCTCACACTCACAGCATAGACCCATACTCGCATGTCTAGGCCCAAATTTACCAGTCACAGCTTATCTGAGTGAGCTAAGCTCAAGTAGTTCTACAGCACAGACCCTGACCTTGGAGCCATGGTGCTACAGCAATGACCGCAAAAGGGTCAACTTATTGTGATAATGTTTGTTTTATTTGTGCTAGTAGTAGTTTTTATTTTTAATTTTATTTTGAGTGTTCTTGTTTGTATTTTGTATATTGTTTACAAGAGTGCCCATTGATCTACAAGGTCAAGGTGCTCTTCAAATTTCTAAACTTCCTTTTCTACGGTATTGTAACTATTATCTTGTTATTAACGAACTTCATATTTTATAGGCATGGGATACATGGACAACAGCTACTCAAATTCCAATAATGGTGGTTCTGTCAATTCTCAAGATTCCCTGTGGCAAGTGAAAGGTCACGGTGAGGCACAGATGACGACACATATGGCCCCACATATGGCCCAGGATTCCAGAGGTTACCAGTATGATCCTATGGTTCATGGCGGTTATGGTATCTCTGGATATGATGATTACTCTCATTATCCACCAACTAGTTACCAAGGGCAAGGAATGGTTGATGAATACCCAGGTTCACGAGGCAACTACGTAACCAATGGAGACCCATATGCTGCAGTACACAAGCCCAGAAAGCGTGTTGAGCACATTGGTGAGATCTCATTTGTACTTTGTTTGCTGCTGTAATGTCTCTAGAACCCACAGGACTCGCCTGTTCTGTGATTTGTAATAGTAATATCTCTAGTTAGACAGCTGTGTGTATGGACTAACCTTTTCATTAGTGGACATAAATCTTTTTTTTATTTTATTATTAAAACATCGGCTGTTTCCCACCAAAGCAGGATGGCCTGAAAAAGAAAAACTTCATCATCATTCACTCCATCACTGTCCTGCCAGAGGCATGCTTACACTATGGTTATAAAACTGCAACATTACCATCCCTCCTTCAGAGTGCTGGCACTGTACTTCCCATCTCCAGGAATCAAGTCCAGCCTGCCGGTTTCCCTGAATTCCTTCATAAATGTTACCTTGCTTACACTCCAACAGCACGTCAAGTCCTAAAAACCATTTGTCTCCATTCACTCCTATCTAACACACTCACGCACGCTTGCTGGAAGTCCAAGCCCCTCACACACGAAACCACGTTTACCTGCTCCCTCCTACCTTTGCTAGGCCGATCCCTACTCCGCCGTCCCTCCACTACAGATTTATACAGGTCCCCTCCACATTCGCGAGGGTTAGGGATCAAGAACCTCACGAATGTCTGGTGCACAAATACATATATATTGTAGGGATATATAATAGCATTTACTTAGCCTAACAATACTACTTCCTTAACCTATTGAACCATGAACAATCATAAAACACATGAACACATCGTAAAATATTGTACTGGTGCCAGCCCTTTGGTAAAGGTGAGAAAGACTATGGAATTCAAGAAAGAACTCGGAGCAGAGTACGAAAGTGGAGGAGGAAGAGAGAGGGGAGAATGTGCCTTCTTCAGTGATTCTGTGATATGTACAATACTAAAGCAGCACGAGTCGATAAAGGCTATAATGCCAGCCACGATAAGGCGTAGCATTAACAGTGTAGCAAGTAAGTTAAGCAATTAATCGATAGAAAAAGGACAGCACGAACCTAACTCCTCCAATGTTGTTGGAGTTATATAGGGCTACTGACAACACCAGTCTCTGCTGCCGCCTCCACCACCATATATGGCTTATGCTCTCTGTGGCCCTTATACAACCAACAGCACAGCAACACTCGTGACATAATGAGATATTTTATTCATTCTAGAGTGTCATGTTTCTGTCATTAATATTGTTTATTATGTTATATTAGATGAATTGTGATAGATAAATAAACCATAGACTTGATATAAGTGTCATATTGAAGGACTATCTTGTCCTATCTTCAAACAAACTCTGCCACCGCCACAATTCCTAACATATTTAAATATGATTGGGCAGCTAGGAATTTACGAATGTTCGAAGCCTGCGAAAGTGGAGAACGCGAATGTTGAGGGAGACCTGTACATTCTCGAAGTCATTCTATTTTGTTCCTTCCTCTCTACATGTCCAAACCATCTCAATAACCCCTCCTCAGCCCTCTGGATAATAGTTTTGGTAATCCCACACCTCCTCCTAATCTCCAAATTACGGATTCTCTGCATTATATTCACACCACATGTTGCTCTCAGACATGACATCACTGCCTCCAACCTTCTCCTTGTTGCAACATTCACAATCCATGCCTCATGCTCATACAAGAGTGTTGGTATAACTATACTCTCATACATTCCCCTCTTTCTTTGTCTCCACAGACTCCTTGGTGCACCACTTTCCTTTTTCCCCTCATTAATTCTATGATTCACCTCGTCCTTCATAGATCCATCTGATGACACATCCACTCCCAGATATCTGAACACGTTCACCTCCTCCGTACTCTATCCCTCCAATCTGATATAGAATCTTACGTTACCTAATTTTTTTTTGTTATCCTCATCACCTTACTCTTTCCTATATTCACTTTTAATTTCCTTCTTTTACATACCCTGCAAAACTCAACTAACATCTGCAACTTCTCTTCAGAATTCCCCCCCTTCCCCCCAAAAAAAAAAAAAAGTACTGTCATCAGCAAAGAGCAATTGTGACACCTCCCACTTTGTGTTATTCTTTATCTTTTAACCCTACACCTCTTGCCAACACCCGAGCATTCACTTCTCTTACAACTTCATCTATAAATGTATTAAAAAAACATGGTGACATCACACATCCCTATCTAAGGCCTACTTTCACTGGGAAATATTATTGCCTTAAAATTACTTGCATGTATCATAACAAAAATACTTATATGTATCTTTAATTCAACACACCGGCCATATCCCACCGAGGTGGGGTGGCCAAAAGGTAAAAACGAAAGTTTCTCCTTTACATTTAGTAATATATACAGGAGAAGGGGTTACTAGCCCCTTGCTCCTGGCATTTTAGTCGCCTCTTATAACACGCATGGCTTACGGAGGAAGAATCCTGTTCCACTTCCCCATGGAGGTAAGAGGAAATAAACAAGAACAAGAACTAGTAAGAAAATAGAAGAAAACCCAGAGGGGTATATACTATATGCTTGTACATGTATGTGTAGTGTGACCTAAGTGTAAGTAGAAGTAGCAAGACGTACCTGAAACCTCGCATGTTCATGAGACAGAAAAAAAAGAACACCAGCAATCCTACCATCATGTAAAACAATTACAGGCTTCTGTTTTACACTCGCTTGGCAGGACGGTAGTACATTCCTGGGCGGTTGCTGTCTACCAACCTACTACCTACATTGTATGCATCATAACAATAAAAATGCTTTCAAATGAGCTGATGTAGGTAACAGCTCTTAGCTTGTCAATAAAGTTAGGAATCCTTAACCTGTAAATAGCTTGTCAAAAAGCAGGGATCCTTAACCTAACTTTGTCAAACCCTCTAAAAAAAAAAAAACTTTAATAACTGATATCTAATGATCCACAGATGGAGGCTGTGATGTGAGTGGCATGCCAGACCCGTATATGGAGCATTATGAGCAAGGCGGTGCAGAGATGAGCTCTGACAATAAACCTCAGATCAGCTTTGACGAGTCCTTAGAATCCGGTTACTCGACACCGAACTCTCGTAACCGCCGCATCATCAGGGAAATTATTGTGTGAAGAAGAAGAATGTAATTTATGGTGATAAAATGTTTCAGGTTACTGGGAAGCTAATACTTGGGTCATTGGATTTTAATTGTAAATAAAGCGTATGTTTAAGCAGTCTTCAGCTTAGGTTGATTTTTGCCAGATCTGTTTAGAATATTGCCCAAGAAATGAGTTTGGTGGTAAAAAAGAAAATGCCATTAATGACCAAATAATATTGGCTGCTTGTTCCCTCCCAAAAGGTACCCATTATTTTTGGGGGTTAATTTGCAGTGACCCAGTTTATAATATTGCACTAATGTGCAATTCCACATCAATATATTTACTATACAGTGACTATTTTTGTATGTTACCGAATGCTTTCCTGCTTGCATGAAGACTACCCAAGACTTGATTCATGGATCTGGCTGGCACTGAAAGGAACTTCTTCCACCGTTACTTGCCAGGCCGGGGCGGTATGTATCCTTCCCTTTCTTCCTGCTACAACCTAAAGCCACTGATGAATATTGGCTAAGAAAAGACAAGAAGTTTACACCGCCCCTTGCTCATGTCTAGTCTGAATTGCTGATTATGTTAGTGAATGATGTACACTTGTTTGTGTGGATGAGATTCAAAGTTGCTCCAAGTTTAGTATGAATTGGTTAGCTTTGTGCTATGACTGAATAACATTAATATTCTGTAGATAATCTTGTGCTAGCTCACACAGACAATTAGTGCTAAGTGAAGGGTTTCTGTGATGAAAGCAGAGCTTTTAGTTGTACAGGTATTCAGCACAAAGGTGAGCACAGGATATGAAGCTCAATTGGAGCGTGGTCACAAAGTGGTGCATGCCGGTTTATTAATCACTACAGACATGTGGACGCATTACAAATTTTGTGATTACTGTGATACTGGCTTCCCTAGTGCATAAATCTGGGTCACATTCAGACACATAAGTATACTGTCTCCCATCAGGGATTGAAAAGAAAGTGCCACTAGTGAAGATGGCCCAAGTGTTAGTATAGCAGCTTGCTGTCGTAACAGGCTTTGTGATCTCAAGTGCAAATGGGGGCTGCCTCAGTTTTTGTACTTCATATATATATATATATACATATATATATTTATATTAAGAAATGTTTGTAATTTACCTGTGTAAAAAAATGTTGTATGTTTCAACAGTGGAGGTAGTGCAATAACTGAGCTGTTACCTCTCATTTTGTTAAGTTTTATATCTTATAATTTGTGTTCCACTTCTCAGAAAAGAAAGGAATGAATCCTCTCATACTTTCATTAATGTAGGCATTTTCAATCATTAAAAAAAAAGTTGATATCTAAATGTTTTAAACCAGTTGTTAAACAGTAGATTGTCTGGCATATTGGGTGTTCCAGTATTTTTGAGTACTGCTCTTTTTAAATTTTCAAATATAAGACTATGCTCTCGAGAGATTTAAACACTTTAAAAGAATGTTGTAATTTTAGATGTATAAAGACAAGATCTTGTATTTGGACTGATGTTGGATGCTGTTCTGTAGTTTTATGATAATGTTTGCCAACAGTTTAGGATACAGGATGTATGACTTGAAGTAGTGTGGAACAATTTTTTTTATATATATATAGTATATATATAGAAAATTACTACTCTGTATTTTGTGTTCTCTTATCAGAGTTCAATAATTTTACTTTATATATATTTCTAAGTTTTTTTCATTTTTGTATTTGTGTAAATAATTTTATTTATAGAATAAAATATTTTGGGAATGGGTACTAAAGTACCCATCACCCCCACTCTCGAGCTGCCAATACTAACTTCTCACCCTGTCGCTCATATATAAATATTTTAATGTAGTAATTATTGGCAAGCTTGAAATGAGAAAAGTACTGAATGATCATGGTCCTTGTAAATAAGTACTGCATCAAGTTTTGCTCGTAAACCTGCTGTTGTCTTGCTTTGATAACTTTATATTTTTAATACTGAATGTTTTTTACGAATCTTATTGCATGTGGTAATCTTCAGGAAAAACTTACTTTTTATGGAAGTATTGCATTTTATTTTAATGTTCACACATTCCAAAAAATATCTGTGCAATAACCTTATATAGGAAGGTGAAAGCTTGCATATGTAGAATAATAATTCACAAGACTGTGGCCAGAACCCTTCACAAATGGCTTTTGGCTTATTTTGGACAATTATTGAGTCACAGCTGAGTGGGAAAATAGGAGAGAGAAGATAGTACTAATAGTATAGTTATAGAAGTTAGCAATAATTGTAATAGTAGTAGTAGTGGTAGTAATAAAGGGATGGAGAAGCAGGTTACTCCACCCTCTTGACACATCCATCTCCATGGGGTATGCGAAGGTACAAAGAAAAGAGCCTGCAGTAAGCCTAATGGCTTATGCTAAGAAAGAAAAAAACACATGTATTGAACATATGCAAGCTTAAAGTTTCCATTACTAAACATTGACATAAATGAAATTCAAATATTAGAGTTAAGTAAAACTTTTATATTGAAAAATTTTCTGACGTCATTGTTTAATAGTATATATTTTTGTAAATAATGTATATGTACCTGTACATCATAGATCTGTAAATGATCTAATGACAAAGTTTTTGTATAAGGTAACAAGGTTACACAATTTTTGTATTCAGGATTTAAACCCAATTAAACATCAGTAATTATTGTAATTTTCATTCAGACCTTATATACTGCAGTCTGTATTTTGCCTTCAAATAATGGAAGAATATAGTTTGAAAGAATAAACAAAAAGTTAACAAACATTTAAGAGATTTATAAAACTTCACATTCACCTGCTGCACACATCAACATGGGTAGCTACCAATACTAAAACTAGCAAAACAGCTGCTGCTGCTGTTAGCACCTCTGCATTTAACTCTTTAGCAGTCCTAGACTCTAAGGTCCCTACCTCATCACCTCGTACTGTTCTCAAATCTTCATCTTTTCACTGACACGTTTCTGTCTACAAGAACTCTCGCAACAGCTCCTCCCCTTTGCCCTTCTACTTCTCCAAAGTCCAAAAACTCCCCAAGTGTAAATCTTCTTTAACCTCTCCTTCACATATCTTTCCTGGACATTTTTCATTACCAATCTGTGTACCTGGTTCTGTTAAGAGTGTGGAGGTTCATCCTCCTCCCATACAGTCCCTTCCTCTCCTGTCACCTCCTATTCTTTCTTCCTCTCCTATCCCCTTCCAAGCTACCTTCCATCATTGCCCAGATCTTTACTCGCATTTCCCTTCTATCTCCGGTGTTGTCCTACATACAATGTCCTTGTTCTCTAGAACACTTGGAGCAATTATTTTTTTTTTTTTTTTTTATCACATGGCCGATTCCCACCAAGGCAGGGTGGCCCGAAAAAGAAAAACTTTTAACCATCATTCACTCCATCACTGTCTTGCCAGAAGGGTGCTTTACACTACAGTTTTTTAAACTGCATACATTAACACCCTCCTTCAGAGTGCAGGCACTGTACTTCCCATCTCCAGGACTCAAGTCCGGGCCTGCCGGTTTCCCTGAATCCCTTCTAAATGTTACTTTGCTCACACTCCAACAGCACGTCAAGTATTAAAACCATTTTGTCTCCATTCACTCTATCAAACACGCTCACGCATGCCTGCTGGAAGTTCAAGCCCCTCGCACACAAAACCTCCTTTACCCCCCTCCCTCCAACCCTTCCTAGGCTGACCCCTACCCCGCCTTCCTTCCACTACAGACTGATACACTCTTGAAGTCATTCTGTTTCGCTCCATTCTCTCTACATGTCGAACCACCTCAACAACCCTTCCTCAGCCCTCTGGACAACAGTTTTTGGTAATCCCACACCTCCTCCTAACTTCCAAACTACGAATTCTCTGCATTATATTCACACCACACATTGCCCTCAGACATGACATCTCCACTGCCTCCAGCCTTCTCCTCGCTGCAACATTCATCACCCACGCTTCACACCCATATAAGAGCGTTGGTAAAACTATACTCTCATACATTCCCCTCTTTGCTCCAAGGACAAAGTTCTTTGTCTCCACAGACTCCTAAGTGCACCACTCACTCTTTTTCCCTCATCAATTCTATGATTCACCTCATCTTTCATAGACCCATCCGCTGACACGTCCACTCCCAAATATCTGAATACGTTCACCTCTCCATACTCTCTCCCTCCAATCTGATATTCAATCTTTCATCACTAATCTTTTTGTTATCCTCATAACCTTACTCTTTCCTGTATTCACCTTTAATTTTTTCTTTTGCACACCCTACCAAATTCATCCACCAATCTCTGCAGCTTCTCTTCAGAATCTCCCAAGAGCACAGTGTCATCAGCAAAGAGCAGCTGTGACAACTCCCACTTTGTGTGTGATTCTTTATCTTTTAACTCCACGCCTCTTGCCAAGACCCTCGCATTTTACTTCTCTTACAACCCCATCTATAAATATATTAAACAACCACGGTGTACATCACACATCTTGTCTAAGGCCTACTTTTACTGGGAAAAAATTTCCCTCTTTCCTACAACTCTAACTTGAGCCTCACTATCCTCTAAAAACTCTTCACTGCTTTCAGTAACCTACCTCCTACACCATACACTTGCAACATCTGCCACATTGCCCCCCTATCCACCCTGTCATACGCCTTTTCCAAATCCATAAATGCCACAAAGACCTCTTTAGCCTTATCTAAATACTGTTCACTTATATGTTTCACTGTAAACACCTGGTCCACACACCCCCTACCTTTCCTAAAGCCTCCTTGTTCATCTGCTATCCTATTCTCCGTCTTACTCTTAATTCTTTCAATTATAACTCTACCATACACTTTACCAGGTACACTCAACAGACTTATCCCCTATAATTTTTGCACTCTCTTTTATCCCCTTTGCCTTTATACAAAGGAACTATGCATGCTCTCTGCCAATCCCTAGGTACCTTACCCTCTTCCATACATTTATTAAATAATTGCACCAACCACTCCAAAACTATATCCCCACCTGCTTTTAACATTTCTATCTTTATCCCATCAATCCCGGCTGCCTTACCCCTTTCATTTTACCTACTGCCTCACAGAACTTCCCCCACACTCACAACTGGCTCTTCCTCACTCCTACAAGATGTTATTCCTCCTTGCCCTATACACGAAATCACAGCTTCCCTATTCTTCATCAACATTTAACAATTCCTCAAAATATTCCCTCCATCTTCCCAATACCTCTAACTCTCATTTAATAACTCTCCTCTCCTA